CACGCCTGAATCGTGCCGGGATTCGCGCTCGAGAACAACTGTTGATGATGGAACTGTTGATGGTACTTAGGTAGCATACTATCGATTATGAATTTCGAACTCATATCGACTGCCGCCGGTGCCGATCTCGGACTCGATGCCGAGGACACGCCCGGACACGGAGACCCGGGTCCGGTGTCTCAACACCGACGCCGTGCCGGCGATGCCGGCTGATGCTTCATCGTTTGCGCACTTTCTTGTACTAGCGATCACACCCGTTTTTATTATTTTCCTCGATCGATACCGAAAATCTATACCTGGATTTTCTCGTCGCACCCAACCGCACCGCGCACTCGGTTTACTGTTCGGTCTCGCTTTCTTTCCAGCTCTTCTTTCTTTTCTTTCACTTGTTCCTTCTCCTCCTCCGGCTGTCCTTCTACCTTCCCTTCCTTATCCGTTACCTTTGACCCCCACTTTTAATCGTCACTTACGCAACTTTACACATTATCACAGAAACGATAGCGGACGCGAACCCATCGAGGATCGACGCGTCGTTCGATAGGACGACCGCGATCGGCGGAGAGTTCGCGACGGCGGACGGGCAAACACACCGGAACGACTTCCAAATCATTCGTTAGCTCTTCGATGGTGGACGCGCGTCGTCGGGTCGTCGATCACACCGTGGGATAAGGATCCGACGAGCGGGTATGGTTTTCGGGCCGACGTTACGATTCCTTTATGGTAATTACGATTCCTTCCACATCGGGACGACCAGCGACAATAAAGCAGCGGGTCTTTCGTCGGTCGGGCCCACCCAGCTGATCCAGCGCAGCGGTCCCAGCGAGGAAATTGGGCTGCGACGGCGAACGAGGCGACGGCACGAGGAGAGAGAAGAGAAGAGAAGAGCGTGGCCCCTGTCAGGTGTTAGAAGCCGTTTCTTGCGTACTTCTCGGATAGTCGACGAATCCTTTATGGGCCATGCATGAAGGTACTATAGCCCCCTATCCCGAACGCCGCGTACTACAACCCACGGCCAGCTAAATGTAACCCCTTACAATAATGGCGCCGCTTGTCTCTCCGTTCTGTTCCCCCCTCTCTTCTACGATCCTCGACCGCGCTGGGGTACCAGCTGGTAAACAGAGCCGACCAATCGCGCCGCTCCCTTATCTGAGGTGGACCAATCGCGTGCCGCCTAGGCGCGCCAAGATGAATGGCTCTCTCTCTCCACGCCGAACCGACTCGCTCTGATCTTCGTCGCTGCCTATGCTTCCAGCTCTCTCTTGTTTCTTTTCGCCGCTTTCGGTTGCCGCTCTCGCTCCTCTGCTACGAGTTCTCGCGCTCCGTCCATACCACGCTTTTCTCTCGTCGCGCCGCGTCGCTACTCTTCGGCTCCGATCCGCTCGTGTTCCGTGCCTTCTCTCTTGCCAGTGCAGTCCTGCCAGCCACGTTGCCTTATACCCCTGCACACGCTATCGTGCAGCTTCACGAACCTCTCTCGCACGATATTTTCTCTTTCTCTTTCTCCTTCTATTTCTTTCCTTCTTTTTTTCCGCTTCTCCGTTTTTCTCTAATCTCTACTCTCCTCTTCCGAACGCTGTCGGCCGCTTTCTTCTTCGCCGCTTCGTTTCTTTTTCCCGCTGTGCTTTACAGCCCAGTCAGCAGTTTTTTTAACGTTGCTCTCGCACGCGTTTATCCGCTTTTTCTCCGTGCTTATCCTCCTGCGTTCTTACGCTTCCAGGTTTGGACAGGTCTCCGTTGGTCAACGTGTAAACACACTCGAAAACCAAGTTTTCCGATGTTTTACCGATCCTTCTGCTCTTATTGTAATTCTCGATTAGTCTGAGCGACGGTTTTTTCAGCCTCTCCAAGTTTTTGCTTCAACTCGTTCAGTCTTATCTTCGTTCGTTCGGTATTCCGCCTTTGTTCCGGACCGGGGCTTCGAACAATGCCCGCCGGAGTAATACTCCTTTAATAACGTCCCGCGTGTTTTTCGACGAGCTCGACGCGGATTCGTCCGATCAATCCACGGCCGTTTCTTCTGGCAGACTCCTTCGATCCAGAGGGCGCTCGGTTCGCCTTCCGATTCCGTGGAGACTCGCGTAAGCGTTCCTCGTTCCTCTTCCCGTTTCCGCGAGGAATATGCGAGCGAAACTGGCGCGTTTCGCCAGTGTCGTCTGCTCGACTCTTCGAAACCACTGAACTCGTCCCGGTCGGGATAGCGGCGGCATTCCTGCGT